GTGCAGTTGTCAGAGAAAATGGATTTTACTCTTGCTGCAAAATTTGCCTGGCTGCTCACTCTGCGTAATACCAAATCCATTTGCCTGTGACTCCATTTATATCAGCCATTCCAGGTCTTCTTCTGCAGTTTATGGCACACCATGGACTGCTTCAGAGAGTGATTTACATATCAGATGGGAGGCTGGAGAAGTTGGAAGGATCCCTTGGATCTGGTTTTGAGCTCTTTTAGAGTGCAGATCCCTGGAGGGTCCGAAAGCAAAGAGCAGCCACGCACCTGGAAGAGCAGCAGGTATTGGGAGCTGGTTTGTCTGTTTTAAAACAAGCTGCTTGAGCAGGGAGAGGGACATACAAATTGTTTTTCCATACATTTCCATGCAGGCAGGGGGAATAATGGCAGAGGAGCGGCAGGGAAGGGGCTTTGTCATGGTTACAGGCCGGTGGCTGAGAATGTGGGTGGAGCAGCGCTCGTCCAGAGTTAGTGACCTCAGCAAATTGGAGCTCAGCCATGGTCAGTATGATAAATGATCTTATTCTGGGTCAAAGAAATGGTTCCCCACAGGGAGGTGTCCGCGAGGCGGCCCGGGAAAGCGCCGTGCTCCTGCAGCACTGACCCCTTAGTGACCAGTGCCACATATATCTTATTTACTGCAGACCAGCAGGGAATTTTCCATGGTTCAGCCTTTATAGGGATCCCCTATTTCCCTGAAATAATCTCCCAGTTCTGCGACCAAGGCAAGAAAATGAGTGTAATCACACCTTCTGGGTGCCCTTCGAGGCTCTGTGCAAGTTTGGATGTGGATTTTAACACAGACATGTCTGGTCCTTGTGTGTGTGTGTGAATCTGTGAGCAACCTGTGCAGCTCCCTGGGAGCCAAGGGCTGTCTGTGTGTCTGTGTCAAGTGGTATCAGGGTTGCACAAAATCCCTCCATGTTTCTGCACCTTTATCAGTTCATTGTGAGATCCTCCTAGTGCAACACCCAGCTTGGTGTGTCACATTGGAAGCACCTGGTTTCTCTCTGCACACACTGAGTACCCTCATTTCTGAGTTGTCACTGATGGATCTGTCAGGTCCAGGAGGTTTTATTGAGCTGGGAAAGATCTATGGATTTCAGCCCAGCTTTTGAGGGTGCAGATGAACCCAGGCAGTGCTAAAATGGACTGTTAGAGTGGAAGCTGAGCAGATTCTTCATGGAGGAGGGCAGTGCAGGTGGTCAGGCCTTGGAGGATTCACAGGAGGGCAGAGCAGACTGAGCAGTTCTCTCTGCCACAGCCAGGAGTGTTTGTGGTGCAGCTGGGCTGAACAGGAGCCGAGGCTGTTGGGGCTTGTGTGCTCTCACTGCAGTTCCTGCATCCTCTTGCGTGACAGGCAATGACTTTGTGTCACTCCCAGCACACATCTCGTTTTCCTGAGCGCTGTGTTTCGCTGGGTGATGGCTTTTCTGCATTCATTGTGGGCTTGAGCTCCCATCTGTGCACTTGAACTAAGCAGTTTTCTCAAATGATTGTCGGTTTTTCTTTTTTTTTAATTAACTTTAGATTATTTTTTTCCCTAAGAATTTGGAGAGGGTTGATGTAGTGCTAGCACAAGCAGCAGAAGCTGTCTCTGTGTAGAAATAAGACAGGGATTTCCTACCATGTGCTTCAGTCCCTCCTTTGCAGTTTGAGAATATTTCCACTTCCTTGGCTGGTTCAGTCTTGCTTCTCCTCTGCTGCTGCCATTGGAGAGGGCAGTTAATGAGAATTAAGAGTGCATTTTTTGATGTGATATTTGTTTGCTGTGAGTGAAATGGAGTAGGCTACCAAACAGATTTCAATAAGACCATGCAGCAGTGATAAAAATACATCATTACTGGGGTGAGCTGGATTCGAGTTGGTGATGCTGGAGCAAAATGCTGTATTGTCTGAGCTCTCACCTGAACCTCCCTCTGGAGCCAAAATGCACGGTGGGTTTTGCAGCCAAATCACAGCACCTGTAGTACAGCTGTGCTCTGCCAAAGCAGATGCCTCTGTTCTGTGATGGGGGCCAGCTTCAAACCAACACGAGTGTGAAATCACAGCATTGTCGTGATGGTTTAACTTCCCAGCAGATGTGGTGCCTGATCAGGCTGAGATTTTTTCCTTCTTTATATGGCATCTGTAGAGAACCTGCTGTTTGCATAGAAAATCCTTGACCCAGGCAGCTGGAAACCTGTTAGACCTGTAGCATAGTATCAGAAAGAAAATGTCCTAGGAACATTACGTATGTCAGCTGTAAGAGATAGGCAGTTGTGCTGTAATTTACCTCTTATTATTTCCATCATGAGAACACAGAGTCCTGAGCTGTTGGTCAGGACTGCTGTTTGAGGCACTGAGCTGCAAGATGGCTCCTCCACAGACCACTTGCAATGGAAGTAATCTTGTTCCTTTTCAATATCTTACTTGTGGGAGATTGTTTTGGTGTGGCTGTGGTCATCTGTCATCCTTTATAATTGATTTGTTCTAGTAATATTGGTGTGTAGCACATAGAGAAATGAAGGTGGGTGAAAAAATTCAATGCTGATAAAACAGATGAAAGTATTGTCTTAAAGTTGGCTGTGGAGAAAAGGTCTTAAATTTTGTACCTTTTGGAGTGGGCAAGCTCCAGGCATGGGATGTCATCCCTCTAGACATAGGGATGTCTGGGGTTTTTCCCTACTGTTTAAATTCTTCAGTCTGTGTGTACGTGACTTCTGGGTAGGAGTAAATGAATGTTGGCTCAGGTGGGACTGAAAATAACATTTGTTATGGGAGGAGATGGCTGAGGGAGTCTTCCAGCCCAGCCTGGAATAAATCAGTCCCCTCGCCCCTCCGTCCAGGCTGCTTCTAGGTGGCTGCCTTTTATCCAGCCAGTGCAGCGTGTTTCTGTTTAAATGATCTCTCCTGAAAGGTCCCAGAGGAAAGGGCTGCTTATTCCATGCAAGGAGGATGGTGTATGGCACAGCTCATTGTTGTGTGCCCTGCTGCAAGTGCATAAATATGAAACAGCTCGCGGGCGATGCTGCGGTGGGGCCGGTGTCCCCTTCACACCCCCTCCCTCTCCTGAAGGCTCCTCTCCATCTTCCTCCCTGTACAGCTTTCATTTCTTGGTGATGGAGAGCGGGAGCCATTTGGGTGTGAGATCCTGAGGGCTTGACTGCAGCAGTGTTTTTCAGGGGAAGGTGAATTAATGTGGTTAACTCCTGTTCTGATGGCTGACCGTGCACTTGTGTGTGTGTGTGTGTACATATATATCTATATGTATGGATGGATATGTATGTAAATACACACACCTTCTCAGTGGTGCTCCCTGTCCCCAGTGCATGTTGCTAGGAAGGAGACAGAAAATGGCCTATTTTGTTCTTTTAACTACAAATCATTACAAGGCAGTCGTGGGTTGGCCCCAGGCAGGCGATCCAGCTCGCCAGGCAGTTTGGAGGCACAAAGCAGCTCCTCTTGCCCAGATCAGAGTGATCCAGTGCTTGCAGTACCTGTTGTGCCCTGAGCAGCCCTGTGGGGAGATCAGGGTTTTGGGGCAGAGTGCTGGTTTGGAGGCAGCAATGCCCTGGGAAGGCAGGGGGAACAGAGGCAATCTCAGAGCATCCCCCTCCCCCTTTCCCTGGGAGAGGAGGCCCCCATCTGCTGCAGATGGACCTCTCCCCATTGCCTGGTTGATGTGCACCTGTCTACAGCAGGGCTGTTGATCCTGGCTGTGACAGAAGCAATGAGGGTGACTTTATTTGGAACAACCCCAGTTTGGCTCTGGGTAACATCCATGATCCCATAAAATCCTGGGGTAAGGCCTGGGCTGAGTCAAGCCACTACAAATGCACATATTATTGCTGGTCATGAAGCAAACACATGGGGAATGGTACACAGAGTGAATTTAACTGAGAGAAGCACATGTGGAAAATACCTCATTACTACAGTGAGCTTACCTCACATAAGAAACCCATCCTGCCATCCCTGCTCCTCCTGGAGCAGGGCTGCAGCCCTCACTGCTGGATTTGTGCCTTCAGAAAGCTTCCTCGCTTCTTGAAAACAAACAAAACTCTTTTGGGGCTTTCAAAGGGCTGTTTAAAGGAGCCCCAGGAGAATAACTGATTGTGGATTCGGAATGATGAAGTGGTTTGTGGAACAGTGAAACATAGAGGCAAATGCAGGAGAACTCCACTTTGCAATTTGTCAGCTTCTCTAAACCCTGTAACGGATTGTTCCCCCCCTCTGTCTCTTCTCACCTCTCCAATAGGAAATTAACTGATGCTATCACTAAAGAAATTGTTTTTGCCTCACAAAGTAAAATTGATACTATAAAAACCCACCAGCAGTGTCTCCTCCTCCTTTTACATGAAGACAAATCCTTCCTGTCACCTACTGAAATGGAAAGATAAAGGCTGAGCTTTAATAAAGAAGCTCTAAGCATAAAGTGTGGAAGGAGGGAGCAGGCACAGCATGGGGAACACTCCACAGCAGCAGGTGTGATGCTGGGGGATGCTGTAAGTGTCCAAAATGCAATGATGGGCCAGGCCCTCCTGCCTGTTTAATGCATGCCCATGGACAGGTTTGGGCCCCAGAGCTCCCAATGTCTCCAAGAGTTTGTGCTGGTTTTGGTGCAAAAGTGTCTGTGTTTGCTCCATTCGGGTTCTTAGGCTTGCTTGTTTAGACTTTTTAAATCTAATTAAATGCACAAAAGAATTAGATATGATTTGTTGGGTGTTAAGATAATGCACAGGATATGGGATGTGTCAGAGACCTGAACATCAGGAATCTGCTGCCAGACTGGTGCTTCAGCAGGAGCTGCATTCATTCTTAGTGGGATCAGTTTTCTGTGGGAAATCTCTTCTGCCAAACCACGGGGACAGAACTGACTGTGAGTTTCTTTGCAGCTCTCCCCATCCATCCTGCATGTCCCTCATCTGCTCTTTTGTGGATAAACAATCACTTTGCTCTGGCATCACCAGGAGCCATCAGCTTGTTTGTAAACCCTGTCCTTCCTTCTTCCAGGGGATATCAGAAACCTGCTCAAGTGGATCAAACAGAATATGCTGAAAGAGCGACCAGAGCTATTCCTGCAAGGGGAATCTGTGTAAGTACAACTGTTAGGAATCCTCCTTGTGTTTCTCTCTTGATCCCCACAGTTTGGGGGATTTTTCCTCTGGGGCAGATTTCCTATTGAGTAAGTCAATGACCATGAAAACACAGGATTTGCTGAAGTGATAGTGGGAGGTATCCCACCCACACCTTGCACTGTCCACAGAGAGCATCTTTTGCAGCACTCACCCCAAATCTTTAAACCTTAAACGTGAAGCAGGGCTATTTGTGTTTTCTGTTCATTGTCACTTGGAACAGAGCAGCACCTGTATCCTCAATTCCAGGAGTTTTAGCAGGTCTGTCTGTTCCCTGCTGACATCACTGGGACTGAAGCAGTCATTCTGAGAAATGCCAACAAATACTTCTTCTGGGAAATGTATTTTTATTATCAAAATGGGGCCAGTCTCGTGGAGGGGGGGCAGATAAAAAAAAAGGAAGGCAAGAGAAATGGAGCAGAGTGAGCTGTGCAAGCCATCCCTGACTGCGGGGTGGCGCTGGGGGTGTTTAACATTCGTCACGGATCTTTGTGAGCTGAAGCGTGTGCCAGGTCCCCTGGTAACAGGAGAGACAATTGCAGGACACTGAAGATCAAAGAGGGGGAATCCCTTTGCTCAGAACCAGGGGCTTGGAGTGGATCCCAGGTGTTTGGTGCCTCTGCTAGGGGCACTGGAATGGCTTTTGCTGCCTTCACACTGAGCTCTGCGCGCTCGCCCGGCGTGCGTGGGTTTTAATTACCTGGCTTTTGTGCGCGGTGCGGAAATGCAGTCATCCTGGAGCATCCTCACCACGGAGCCTTCTCATTCAAATGAGCTTTGGGATTGCTCCTGCGTCCCCTTTATTTGATCTACAAAGGGCACAGACTGTACCTGTTTCCACCTCCATGCCAGGATCCCTTTTTTGGTGTTATAGGCAGTCAGCCTGTGATCTGTGCTGTGACATCCCTTGTTCTTAACTATTTGTGGAGCTTTTTAGCAGCCCTGTATCCTAATTATTTCTATCTATTCTGCAGGAGGCCAGGAATTTTGGTGCTCATCAACGAGGCAGACTGGGAACTAATGGTCTGTACTCCTTCAGTTTGACTTTCTTTGTTGAAAATATTGCTCTCTTTTCTGTGGTTGCTCTCACAGCAGCTATTTCTGATTCTTGCCCCAAGCAAAGCATCTCATATTTGAGGGGGAAGGGGCAGGCTGGAATCTATCTCCTGTACAGTGGCTGTTCAAAAGCCTGGAGCCTCTCTCTAACCTGCTGAGTCTCATCAGCCAGGCAGGGTCTGAAGAGAGATCACCCTTTTTCCCTGCTCTCTGGCACTGGGTTTTGCACCTCTGGCTGCTGGCAGGTCCCCCCACACGTGGGGTGACAGTGTGGGGGCACCTGGGACCTTCAGGCCCCACACAGAACCACCTTCCCTGAAGTCAGGGGGTGCCTGGCAGGTAAAGGCCACAGGGAGATTTCAGCTCAAACAGGCACCTGGTAAATGTCTTCCCTTCTCAGCCCACTGTTGTGCTCAAACAAACATCCCCTTGCCACTTCCCTGCCTCAGGCAACCACCTGCTCTGTCAAAACCCTCGTCCAGAAAGGGATGTGGGGTGATGAGCATCAGCACTGTGGCTGATCTCTCACCTTCACTTCTGTTAGGATGAAAACATCAGTCTGTCCCCTTCTGCTCTCCCTAATACTCACCATCTTTTTATGAGCTGTTTTCTCTTTGCAGCTTGTATTTGGAAATGACATTTAAACAATTTTTCATTTTTTTTTCTTGGCCTGCAGGGTGAGCTGGATTATAAACTCCAGGACCAGGATAATGTGCTTTTCATCTCAACACTGCACGGCGGGTGAACTCCTGAAAAAACAAGAGGATGTAAATCAAAATCCCTGGGAAAAAAAAACCCAAACAAAAACCTTAACCCACCTAAACCTCTCTTGAACTGCCTGTGTCCAGTCTCTGCATCTCCCCTCTGCGTTCACTTGTTCTAGACATCCAAATAAAGCCCCGCCAGCCTGCGGCCTTCTGTCCACCACAGCATCCATCTTTTGGTCCTCATTTCACCTCTCCTGACTGCACTTCCAGGTACCCTAACGAGCAGAGAGCACCTCAGCATGTGGGACTTTGTTTTTCTCTGGCAGGAGGAAGAGGGGTGCTGATCCCTGAGCAGGATAACATGTCTTAACATGCAGTGAGGTGTTCTAGTGCTGGGAACCAGGATTCTTTTAACACAATGCTTAATGTTGGTACAGTCTCTGCACCAGCCATGGGAAGGGTGAGAAAGTGCAAGGAAACAAAAGGGGGCTTGACTGGCTTTTGCATGGGGTAGCAAACATGGCAGCTCCAGAGCCCTCAGAAGTGACTTTCACCTTGTCATGATATTTATTTATGGGAAGCAGGAGAGAAATAGGCCTTTTGGGTTTTCTATTTCTGATCCCTCATGCTGCTTTCATACCAGAGCTGAGGCAGAGTGAAGTACTGGCCCATGAATGATGTCAATTTATAATGATTTGGTTGGAGGGGAAACAAACCCTCACCCGGCCTGAGACAGCACAGAGTGATCAGGGCAGCAAATGATCTTCCTGTCACTGTGATAGACAGAATTGATCAGGCTGCACTGCATTCTGTGCAGGTGGGAGCTGCAGTCTGGCTGGGGCTGGAGATGCACAGTTAAAGTGCCAAGAGCTGAGAAAGTCAGTGGCTTTTAACTCTTTGTGTCAGTGGCAGGGAGAGGATTCTTGCTGCATGCTCTGAGGAATTCCTGTGCGGGGTTCTGCTAGGGCACGGCTGTTGTTGGCTTTCCAGAAGTTTCCTCAGAAAGACAGAGTGGCCCCTGCCAGCCAGGAGGCTACGGCAAGAGCAGAGGGACGGGCTCAGAGAAGACAGCACTGGCACCACCAGGTCTGAAACAGCAGGAGCTGCCAGGAGTGCCTGACCAGGACTGTGCTCCTGCTCTCCCCCCTGCCCCGCTCACCTGTTCTGCACGGCTCCAGCACACGCAGGGTCCCCGCAGCAGCTCCTGCCTGAGCCATGGCTGTGGTGGAGCTCAGTGGGTGCCTCTAGAGCTGATCTGCACCAGGAATGCTCTGACAGCCCTGCATGCTCAGGAGCTGCCGAGGAGCTGGGGAGCAGCAGCCCTGCTCAGGCAGCCTGGCCCAGCTCCGAGCGCGGCGCACAGGGAGCCTTTCCCGCGCTCGCCTGACAGGAATTCCTCTGATGCACAGAGTGATTCCCTCAGCTGACTTCTCCACTGACTCCTCTCTGTCTGCCCCTCCACAACCTGCCTCAAAAAGCACCCACAGCCTACGATGCTTCTGCACCTGAGGAGCCCCAACTTCAGCCCACTGCTGGTGCCAAACCGATATTCAGCCTTTTCCACATCCAGCCACAGCAACTTGAGTCCAGCTCACACCATTTGTAAGTGACACAGACAGGCCAAAGGCTCTTCTCTGCCCTGAGTTCCTGGCCCTTAGCTTAGCTGGGCCAGGACAGTGGAAGGGGATTCCAGGAGGTGGTAGAAGCTGGCTGAAAAACAAGGAACCTGTGTGGCGTGCAGCTTGAAACGGACTGAAGCACAATGGGAAAAAGCAGGTTCATCTTCAGCACTGCTGCCTGCCCTTCCTCTACCCTGCCTCTGCCTCAGGCTGGGCTCGTCTCTTCTCACCCCCCAGCTGTTTGCTCAGATAAGATGGGTTCCTTCCCCAGGAGCTGTTATTCCCCTCGATAGTGCAGGTAGACCCAGGTGGCTTAGATCCCGCTGTAGTAAAAGCTGTCAATCACTGCTAAAAAAAGCTAGAAATGGGAAGATGAAGGAAGCCGAGGGGGATGGAGAAGAGGGGTACAGCAAAATCCTGTAACAACAAGAGCAACAAAAAGTTTCTGAAATAAAAGCCTTTTAAAACATTCTCCCCTCCAGCTTTGTCCTAGATAGGCTCTTGGTGAAATTCTGCTCGGATCTTGTAATGCTTCCCTCCTCCTCCTGGGTTTCCTTGGCAGCCCCGGCCGAGCCGTTTGGCTGGTGGATTCATAAAGCCTCTCTGTTAGCAGGAGCCTTCCTCCGGCCGCCGTTCCGCGGGGGNGCCCCAAACTGCCCATAAGGTGCCTCTTGGCCATCAGTGGGCTCTAAGGGTCCATTGTGAGCAGCCAGGATGTGAGGGGAAGGCAGATTGCAAAGGCAGGGATAATTCTGACCCCAGCAGAGCTGGGAGGGCAGGCACAGGGTGGTCTGTCCCTCTGCCACTCCCAGCCTGTGTGCAGCACATTTCACTGGCCTGTGCCTCAGTTTCCCTGTGTCACAGGGGCAGCCCCCCTTCCTCTGCCTGCTTTGGGGGTGAAGGGGCTTGGGAAGGGCAGTGCCCCCCTCTCTGCTCTGGAACCCACGGCTTGGGAGTGTTGTGAGGGCTGTACTGGGCAGTGGGGCCGTGGCTGTGCTTGGCTGGCTGAGCTGTGTGGGGTGCCAGGGGAAGGGCAGGTCCAGATGGGACCCTGAGGGACAATGCAGAATGCAGGGATNAGTGTCCCCTGCCTTAGGCCTCACCCCTGGAGCCCAGGGGCAGCGTCAGACACTGTCAGGCCCAAACGCTGAGCAGGGACCCACAGGGCAGCGATCTGCGGCTGGACATTGCTTCCCACAGAGTCTCACTCCCTCCCTGGGAGGTTTTGCCCACCCTGAAGAGGCGTGAAGGTTTCCCAGGGTTTGGGAACAGCCCCATCCTCACAGCCCCTTCCCCGTGGGCCAGGGCCAGGGGGATGCCCAGCTCCTGCCACAGCCATGCACCTCCCTTGGAAAGGCTCCTCTGCATCCCAGCACATCCCTGCCAGCGCTAGTAGCAATAAACTCACTTCCTACGAGTGTGAAAACCAAAAGAAAGCCAGCATTTAATAAAAAGAAAAAAGAGCAGCAGCAGCTGAAGGGCCCTGAGCTGGGTTGCAGCCATTGCCTGGGACTGGCCACCCTTTGGGAAGCAGGAGCCATGCGAGGGAAGCCCCTGTCGCTGCTGCTCCGGGTGTTCTGGCATTGTTTTAGCCCCGGACCTTTTAACTTGTTTTAATTCCTAATGCTTCCCACCACCTTTTTTTTTCTTTTCTTTTTTTTTTTAGTCTCTTTCCCAAATCTCAGCCGAGTTAATGAAGTTATGTGATCCTATAAATGTTAATTGTCTAAACTTCTCTCCCCCGTTTTTTTTTTTTCAGTTTTTTTTCTTCTTCTTTTTTTTTTTTATCTCTCTCCTCCTTGCTGCTTTCTGCTCCACTTGTAATAAAGAAAATATCTTGGCTGGTCTTAGCCAGTTGCTTGGCAACCTCAATAGAAAAAAAGAGAACAGAATGTAACCAATCCCGAGACAACCGAAAGATTTTGGTGACATGTGACCTCTCGGAAAAGGGCAGCCTTAAACTGTCCCTTCTGTCCTTTGCTCTGACCATTAGGGTCTCTTGCCCTCCTTCCCCCCCCCCGGTTCCTTACACCAATAAATATGGATTAGTGAAATACTTTTTCCCACACTGATGAAAAGCCGGGATTGATCTTTCCACCTCCTTTATCTACCAACCTGACAAGTTTCTAAACAAAATTAAGAGGGAAGAGGCGAAAGGAGCCATGGCAGGTTGCGCGGCCGGGGATGGATCCTGCCCCGCCGTGGGTTGGGGGGTCCCCGCGGGGCGCTGGCGCCGGGGCCGCTCTGCTCCCTCTCTCCGTGCGCTGGGGAGAGCCCCTCGCACGGCTCCAGCCAGTTCACAAATTAAAATGTAGCTCTTTTAACCCAAAATGGGGGAAAAAATTAAGCCCTGGGCAAGTCCTGCTCTCCCTCGATGGGCACCAGGGTGTCCTGGGCAGACCCGTCCTGCTCCTCGCCGCGGAGCCCCAGCTCGGGGGAAGTTGTCTGCAAATTTCATCCTGGAAAAAAAAAAAAAAA